GGCCAGTAGGCCTTCTGCAGTGTTCCTTCGTTCTTATGTTCTTATCATTTACACCTGGCACCCCAAACTTACCTACCACACCCTCTCTAAAAGTTTTCTACCTACTTTAGCATTCAGGTCCCCTACCACAATACTCTCTCAAATATATATATATATATATAATATATATATATATATATATATATATATATATATATAATATATATATATATATATATAATATATATAGGTAGTAGTTGGTAGACAGCAACCGCCCAGGAGGTACTACCGTCCTGCCAAGTGAGTGTAAAACGAAAGCCTGTAATTGTTTTACATGATGGTAGGATTGCTGGTGTCCTTTTTTCTGTCTCATGAACATGCAAGTTTTCAGGTACGTCTTGCTACTTCTACTTACACTTAGGTCCCACTACACATACATGTACAAGCACATATATACACACCCCTCTGGGTTTTCTTCTATTTTCTTTCTAGTTCTTATTCTTGTTTATTTCCTCTTATCTCCATGGGAAGTGGAACAGAATTCTTCCTCCTGTAAGCCATGCGTGTTGTAAGAGGCGACTAAAATGCCGGGAGCAAGGGGCTAGTAACCTCTTCTCCTGTATATATTACTAAATGTAAAAGGAGAAACTTTCGTTTTTCCTTTTGGGCCACCCCGCCTCGGTGGATAAACGGCCGTGTGTTGAAAGAAAGAAGAAGATATATATATATACATATATATATATATATACGTACATGTATATATATATATATATATATATATATATAATATATATATATATAATTATATATATATATATATATTGTATATATATATATAATATTATTATTATTATTATTTTTTTTTTCAACAAGTCGGTCGTCTCCCACCGAGGCAGGGTGACCCAAAAAAGAAAGAAAATCCCCAAAAAGAAAATACTTTCATCATCATTCAACACTTTCACCACACTCACACATTATCACTGTTTTTGCAGAGGTGCTCAGAATACAACAGTTTAGAAGCATACACATATAAAGATACACAACATATCCCTCCAAACTGCCAATATCCCAAACCCCTCCTTTAAAGTGCAGGCATTGTACTTCCCATTTCCAGGACTCAAGTCCAACTATATGAAAATATGTATATATACAGTGGACCCCCAGATAACGATCAGCTCCCAACTCGACCAATTATGTAAGTTTATTTTTGTAAGTGCTTTTGTAGGTGTATTTTTAGGGGTCTGAAAAGGACTAATCTAATTCACAATATTTCTTATGGGAACAAGTTCGGTCTATAACGGCACCCAAACAGACTTGTGGATTGAAATAATATCGTTATGCGGGGGTCCACTGTATATATCTCTATCTCTCTCTCTCTATCTCTCTCTCTATCTCTCTCTATCTTTCTCTCTTTCTCTCTATCTCTCTCTCTCTTTTTTTTTTTTGTTTTTTTACACAGGGTTTGACAAGGTTAAGGATCCCTAGCTTTATTGACAAGCTATTTACAGGTTAAGGATTCCTAACTTTATTGGCAAGCTAAGAGCTGTTACCTACATCAGCTCATTTGAAAGCATTTTTATTGTTATGAGACATACAAGTAGGGAACAGGATGAAGTTGGAGCCATCTGTGGGCCAGCATTTTCATGTGATCAACCGACTTTATCTCGTTGACATCATTATGCTGTACGAATGTGTTCCATACTCGAGTCATCCTGGTTGTATATGATCTCAGATGGAGTGATGTTCTAGAGAAGGGTCAGCCAGAGTGAAGTTGCTGCTTTCTGCCCGTCTTGTGGCATAAAAGCTTGTTTCACGCTGTCCTCGAAGTGGATCCAAGTGTGGTACTTTGACAATATTGGCCTTGTACATAACAGTAAGGCCACCCACATCCCTCCTATATTGAAGGCTCTGCTGAAATGACAGATCTATCCAGGATGGGTCCAGGCGAGAGATGAGACGTCTTGCTCTGTTCTCTACTCTGTCAAGCAGTCGCAGATGAGAGGGGGGGGCAGGCAAACCAAGAAAGTGGAGCATTCTCAGGGTGTGAGCATACTTGTGCCTCGTACAGAATCTTGCAACCCCTACTGTCAAGCAGATGCGAGATACGGCGAAGTGCTGTAAACTTCCTGGCTGCCTTGTTTGCAAGATTTACAACATGGTTCTTCATGGTTAGTTTGGAGTCAAATTTCACCCTAAGGATATCAACTTCTTCTCCAGGTACCAACACCCTCCCATTCATCCTTACTACTGCACCAGCATTACCATCATGGTGCCTAGAGACTATCATCATTTGCGTTTTCTCAGGTGCAAATGTTACTTGCCATCTATTTTCCCAAGCTGATATAGCTCTTAGCTGGTGATTGATGTAGCTTAGAGCAGCTGGCATTTCTTCTCTTGGATAAGTGAATGTCAGTGTACAGTCGTCTGCATATGCATGAGATTCTGGGATGAGATGAAGGTCATTGAAGTAGGCATTCCATAACAATGGTCCCAGTACGCTTCCTTATGGAACACTTGCCCCAATAGGATGTCTTGCTGATTCCGTTCCATTGAGAACTACACTTAGAGATCTACCATGAAGGTAATCACTGAGGAGACATAACGTAGAGCCTGCAATTCCCAGTGCTTGAAGTTTTGCTAAGAGGCCCTGGTGCCACACCCGGTCAAAAGAGCCAGCAATGTCCAGTGCTACCACACAGCTGACTTTGGATTCATCCAGTGACTGGTGCCACTTAGTGGAGAGGTTTAACAACAGATCAGCAGCAGAGTAACCTTTCCTGAAGCCATATTGATGATCACAAAGTAGTGAGTGGTAGTCAAAAAACTCTGCCATTTGTCTTGAGATTATTGTCTCAAGGATCTTACCAGTGATTTACAGGAGTGACACTGGTCTGTAGTTGCTGATTTTTGCTCTGCTCTTCTTTTTGTGAACAGGGACTACATTTCCCTTTTTTCATAGAGAGAGCCATTTACACTGTACTAGGCAGTGCTGAAAGATGCGAGTTAGAGGTGCTGCTAGCTGGTCTGCACATCTCAGCAATCTTGGGCTCAACTTGTCTGGGCCCACAGCCTTTTCTTGGTCAAGCGATTTAAGAAGGAAATGCATCTCCTCCTGCCTTATTGTCACCACTGACAGTTTTGACACAGTTCTTGCAGCTAGCCAAGGAGGGCCCCTAGCTGGATCAGGAACTTGCATTTTGGTAGCAAAGTGGTCCGCCTTCTCTTGACTACTAGTAGAGGTGGTCCCATCCTGTCGATTTAGAGGTGGAATGAGTTCATCAGGCAGATAACCTTGTCTGTCCTTGACCAGGGACCACCAGGTTTTGGAGCCTACCCTACCTGATGCTAGCTTTCTTTTAGTGTCCACCTCCCATTTAGCAATGGCCCACTTTTGAACGTCACCCATATGCCTACAGGCTTGCCTGTGCAAGTTCCTGTTATAGGTGGTAGGATGTCTCTTATACCTTTGCCATGCTTTGTACTTAGCAGTAGCAGCCTCTCTACAACGGAAGCCAAACCAAGGCTGATCTGTAGGCTTTGTCACATATTGCCAGTGAGGAATGTGTTCTTGTTGTAGATTAAGGATGTGTCCAGTGAAGGCTTTCACTTGGTTGTCAACATCCCCTTGGAGAAGAGCATTCCAATCGGTGGTGGCGAGCTCAGAGCAAAGGGCTGGCCAATTACCTCTTTCCCATAGCCAGGTTGTGTGTGTGGACTCCTCACCTCGTTCTGTTGGGATCTTAAGTGTCGTAAAAACAGCCTTGTGGTCAGACGATCCAACGTAGCTGAGAGGTTGACAAGTGACTATGCCTTCTGCCAGATCACTCACTACTGGGTCAAGGGAGGAGCCAGAGATGTGAGTAGGGAAATCAACAAAGTTTCTCATGTCAAATACTGCAAGAAGGTCATCAAAGTCCCTCTGTATAAGGTGTTGGTTGAGGTCACCAACAATTATGATATGTTGACAGTTGTGTTGTAGTAGAAGGGAGTCAATATTTTCCATTAGGAAGTTGATGGGGTCTGCATGTTGCCACTGAGGTCTGTACATTGCACATTCTAGTACAGAGGCACTAGTGTTTATACAGAGCTTGAAGAACATCATTTCAAGATGTGTAGGGATGGCAACATCAATGTGCTGGGCATGAACACTTTTAGAGAAGCACACAGCAACACCTCCTCCTTTCCCTTGCCTGTCTCTTCTCATCCATGAGGTGTAGCCAGCAATTCTTGCAAAATTTTCTGGAGTCCTGTCATCCAAAAATGTTTCAACAACAGCTATCATGTTGGGATGTCGAGTGTTCACAAAACTATGTGTGAGCTCTCCAACATTAGTAATGAAACCTGTAATGTTGGTCGACAGGATGCTGATAGACTGGCTCCTCATGATGTCTGTCTCTCTCTCTGTCTCTCTCTGTCTCTCTCTCTCTCTCTGTCTCTCTCTCTGTCTGTCTCTCTGTCTCTCTCTCTGTCTGTCTCTCTGTCTCTCTCTCCCCCCCCCTTCCCCCACAATCACTATACTGTATATACAGTCAGCTCTTATAAAGTTCCTCTATATGTAATCAGTTTTTATGAAGTTCGTCTATATACAGTTAGATTTAATAAAACTCGATTCCTAGCAATTTTATGTAAACTCAGTGGATAAAGTTCTCCAAAAATTGAACATCAGGTTGAAAGATCTTCACAGTTCCGGTTCTTCAGTTTTTGATGAACGTTCTCAATAAAATAAATTCCATATAAAGGAGCCTTGTATGTTTTTTTTTTGTGTGTGTAAATTTGTCATGTAGAAAAATTTCAGATCTGTAGATAATAATAATAATAATAATAATTAATAATAATTAATACAAACAATAATTAATAATAATAATTAATAATAAAATTAATAATAATTTATGTACTTTTTTGTAAAATTACATATTTTTGGTAAAATTAAACATTTTTGTAAAATTATATATATTTTGTTGTAAAATTTTATATATATATATTTTTTTTAAATTACATGTATACATTTTGGCATCTTACAGGAAGAGAAATTTGACAGTGGAAAAAAGTGGCCACCGATCTTGGATACGGATGACCTGCCAAAGAAACGCCTGCCCTCTATCTACAAGGCGCCTACGCCGGAGATGATTGCCTATTTGGACTTCAGCGTGTCGACGACAGGCATGCTGGCGGGCATTAAGCTGTCACACGGGGCAGCGACCTCTCTGTGTCTTAGCATGAAGGTGTGTTTGTGTATGTGTGGACAGTAGTCATGCAGGGAGGTACTATCCTGTCATGTGAAACACCAGGTAGTAGGTTAGTGGATGGTAGTCATCCAGGGAGGTACTATCCTGTCATGTGAAACACCAGGTAGTAGGTTAGTGGATGGTAGTCATCCAGGGAGGTACTATCCTGTCATGTGAAACACCAGGTAGTAGGTTAGTGGATGGTAGTCATCCAGGGAGGTACTATCCTGTCATGTGAAACACCAGGTAGTAGGTTAGTGGATGGTAGTCATCCAGGGAGGTACTATCCTGTCATGTGAAACACCAGGTAGTAGGTTAGTGGATGGTAGTCATCCAGGGAGGTACTATCCTGTCATGTGAAACACCAGGTAGTAGGTTAGTGGATGGTAGTCATCCAGGGAGGTACTATCCTGTCATGTGAAACACCAGGTAGTAGGTTAGTGGATGGTAGTCATCCAGGGAGGTACTATCCTGTCATGTGAAACACCAGGTAGTAGGTTAGTGGATGGTAGTCATCCAGGGAGGTACTATCCTGTCATGTGAAACACCAGGTAGTAGGTTAGTGGTCAACATAGTTCAGATGTACCATTGAAATGTAACATCCTCACTCATCCTTCAGAGTACAGGTACTGTACTTCTCACCTCCAGAACTGTAACATCCTCACTCATCCTTCAGAGTACAGACACTGTACTTCTCACCTCCAGAACTGTAACATCCTCACTCATCCTTCAGAGTACAGGTACTGTACTTCTCACCTCCAGAACTGTAACATACTCACTCATCCTTCATAGTACAGGTACTGTACTTCCCACTTCCAGAACTGTAACATCCTCACTCATCCTTCAGAGTACAGGTACTGTACTTCTCACCTCCAGAACTGTAACATCCTCACTCATCCTTCAGAGTACAGACACTGTACTTCTCACCTCCAGAACTGTAACATCCTCACTCATCCTTCAGAGTACAGGTACTGTACTTCTCACCTCCAGAACTGTAACATACTCACTCATCCTTCATAGTACAGGTACTGTACTTCCCACTTCCAGAACTGTAACATCCTCACTCATCCTTCAGAGTACAGGTACTGTACTTCTCACCTCCAGAACTGTAACATCCTCACTCATCCTTCATAGTACAGGTACTGTACTTCCCACTTCCAGAACTGTAACATCCTCACTCATCCTTTAGAGTACAGGTACTGTACTTCTCACCTCCAGAACTGTAACATCCTCACTCATCCTTCAGAGTACAGGCACTGTACTTCCCACTTCCAGAACTGTAACATCCTCACTCATCCTTCAGAGTACATGCACTGTACTTTCCACTTCCAGAACTGTAACATCCTCACTCATCCTTCAGAGTACATGCACTGTACTTTCCACTTCCAAAACTGTAATATCCTCACTCATCCTTCAGAGTACAAGGTACTGTACTTCTCACCTCCAGAACTGTAACATCCTCACTCATTCTTCAGAGTACATGCACTGTACTTTCCACTTCCAAAACTGTAATATCCTCACTCATCCTTCAGAGTACAAGGTACTGTACTTCTCACCTCCAGAACTGTAATATCCTCACTCATCCTTCAGAGTACAGATACTGTACTTCCCACCTCTAGGACTGAAGTTCAGTTAACCAGTTTCCCTGAATCCCTTCATAGATGTAACCTTGCTTACACTCCAACAGCACCACAAACCACTTGCTTCCACTCTGATCCGACACACGCACACTAACCCCCTGGCACTCCAACCCTCCTTCACTCCTCACTAGG